CAATTGTCTTTCAGCATCTATAATCCATCTATCATCCATCAAGCATCCATCATCTACCAACCATCTATCATGCATCACCTGTCATTCATCAGCCATCTATTATCTAACATCCATCAATCGTCATTCATTAACAAGCTTTCATCCGTCATTCACTATTAATAATCTATCTATCATCTTACAAGCATCCATCATCTACCAACCATCCATCATACATCAGCTCTCATTGATCAGCTATCTATCATTCGTATATCACCATCTATAATCCATATATCAACTATAGTATTTTCATCTTCTATCATCCGACATTTCTCATCTGTCTTGCTTTATCTTCAGTTTCCATTTGTCATATCTCGTCTGGCGTCTTGTCACTCATCTGTCATTTGGCTTTCGACCCTTGTTTCTCATTCGCCTTCCATCTTAGCTTTTCGCTGCTCGTGTTTGCTTGTTTACTTGTCGTTATTGACGTGCATTCTGCCTATGCTGGCATGTTTCTGTCTGCCCGAGGGTGTTGCCATGCCACATGATTGCTTTGTCGGGGACGACTCGCCGTCGGACATTTCGGGGTGGTGCGTCGCGCGTGTCCTTGGTTGTCACGAGCCAGGCACCTTTCAAGAGATGTCAAACTTCGTCTCTTCCGATGTCTTGTCGATGGCCCATGCCGAGACGCATAAGTGGCATCTTCCTGCTCAACTTGTTTCCATTTCGACGCAAAGAGTGCCGTGAAGAGATGGCAAACTGGATCCCACCAGAACACGACCACCAACCGCGTCCTTTTCACGAAGCGTCGACTGGCAGGCTCCTTCGATTCTGATGAAAAGCTACTAAGCTTTCGTCCAAACGAATCCGTTGTTGGTCGTCTTTTGGTGCAACCGACCTTTTGAATTTCTTCACTCGCAATCAAAATGAGCTCAACAATTATGAAACAAGACACTCCTCGAAAGCCAACTTTTCTTCGCATAGACAACATCTTCGTGCCGCGACTGGGTGAATACAGCCAGTTTTCGCCTCTCTTGTTTTGTTAACCGGAAAATGGTTGTTCTGATCATGTCCGTCATGTCATGTTTTCTCCGGACTCGAACAATTTTGGCTTGAGAACAACTTCAACAGGACCCAACTCTTCATCAGTTACACTTTGATTCGAAATGAAAGCGAGCTCATCAATTGCAAAGCCGAAAACTCCTCGAATCACACCTTTTCTGCACACATACTACTTTTAGCTACTCGTATCACCTCGTCGCATCTCTTGGCTCGGCCATTTTGTTGTCATTCCAACGCTTAAGTGAATTCACAAAAGTTGACCTTCTTCGAATAATGACAGAAGGATGCAAAAAAGCAGATCCTTTGTAGAGAAGGTGACTTTTTACCCATTTCTCTACCGACCGGCCGATTTCGGAGTACACATACACAACACACACCTTGAGGTCTTCACAGTCTTTCCAGCCTTGCTTTCTACAAAAGTTATCCTCTTTATTTCGTTAAAGTGATGAACGATTGGCAGCTGGCTTTTCCCACTCCATTCATTTGATTTCATACAGACTTGCTTCTCAAAAGGTATCTCTATCTCGGTTGGAGCCCCAGCGGGACTCGAACTTATCCAATCTCGACGCGTCAACCACGACAACATATTGTCACGAATGCTCTTGGATCTGAGGACGCATTTGAATGTCGATGAAGCAAAATTGTGTTTTGATGAAACAATCAACTTGACTACTCATTTCCGGCT